GAGAATATCGTGTTATATTTTTTGGCTTCCACATTTTGGTTCAATGTTAGTGAAAAATTCTACATTTACTCATAGCTGCCACATTTCGGATTATCTCATGGGCATGAACTGTTGTTAGTTTCTATGGTTCTATGAAATCTTACGAAATTAGAGTTATACAAGATTACCTTTTCCTGTACTTCAGTAAGAAACTTAGACGGGAAGTGAGTATCAGTATGACGACGATAGTTTTTAAGAACTATATACTATAAGAATTATAAAGAACTAGAGCTTAATGATTTACTACACAGCCAAATACGATTGATCTAATTCTCTTGGCCTTCAAGAGGTGATTTATCCATTGTCGCAGTAAAGCCAAAAATGTCTTTTTTCTGATTGCTGTGGCAGATGCTAAGCTTTCATCATATAGTATACGAGCCTTTCTGTCATGCTGTTAGTAAAAGAAGCATAAAGAAGATTTCGGTGAATATCTGTTATCCTTGGTCACGCTTCGCCAATCATTTAGCCAATTGAAATAAATGTGGAAATTTTTTAATAAATGCTTACATTTATGTCACTGTAGTTTTCTCAGCCCTGCTATGTTGGATGCAAAAAGTTTCTCTTTATCAGTTGTAGAAAATCAGAGGAAGCTTGATGTTTATCGTAAGTAACTAGAAAGGTCATAATTAAGCAGAAGTTCGGCAACGATCATATTATCGTGCCCCAAGAAATTTTTCGGAAAATAATTGCGAGGTATCCCAATATTACGCCATCACTTTTCCTTTTTGTTTTCTTTCTTCCTTTCATGCATTTTCCTCTCCTTATACTTATTGTTTCAGCAATTTTTTTTGGTTCATGTTTATCAACTGTAATGTTATCAAATGTTTGTTGTTAAGCTGCCGGAGTTATCTGGGTGAACAAAAGAAAAACAGAAATTGGGGAGGTGGCGAAGTGATTGGGACAATGTTAAACTTAGGGAAAACTGCGGAGTTTCCTTGATTTTAATATGTCATATCAATTTATTAATTCATCACATGATGAATCGTTGGTGGTGCTCAGTAGCAGAGAAAGCATAGTTTGTAAATTAGCACAACGAACAATATCGAAAAGATAAAGAAGAGACTAACATCACTTTACAAAGCCATCAGCTGAGATTGTTCCTTACA